AGGAACAAAAGAACTAACATCATTCTAAGCTTCCCTTTTCTTTAGAAAGAGCAGATTTCTCCACACCTAAGAAACCTGTAAGTAACTAGGTCATTAGAAAAGACTTCACAAAGTTATTTTTCTCCCATACCAATGAGGTCCACCGAGTTCCTGCTGCCTGCACTGGAAAGCCAACCCATGCTTCCGCGAGGCCACACCGCGACCACCAGCATAGCAGATGCAAAGCCACTGTCTCAGTGTGACAGTGCTGGTCTCCTTCAAACACAGCAACTGCTGGGGGTGGTGCTGTGGTCCTGTGTATGTGCGAGTCTTAGCTTGTGGATCAAATATATTTGATGAAGTCGCTGGTTCTATGCTCACTGGCAGACAGCATCCCCATGTGGCGATCACGTGATGAAACACAATCAAAAATGGAAAGTCCTCGCCAGGGGCGGCGCGTCAGTCTCCGTGCGTACAGAGACGAACCAATCTGGGAAAGTCAGACCAGAAACCACAGAGCGACACAGACAGCCACATACTCCAAACAAGGCTAAAGTTAGCAAAGCAAAATATAGCAACCCAAAGCCTGCCACATCCCAGGCCTTAACAGTCTGCAGAAGTGCCCGGCATCCACACCCCCAGATCACCCCGCACGCGGAGTGGCTGCACAAAACCTGTTGTATTTAACAGAAGCAGAAGAGCGTTCAGAGGGCTTCTAGCCTGGAAGAGTTATGAGTGTTTGCCGTTTCGGGGCTCAGATGAGAGTGGCGGCTGAGAGAGAGAGAAGTGTTGGGGTGTATTTGCGGGTTTTCTGCCGCTGCCAAAGGGCGGGCTGGCACAGGCAAAGGGCTGGGGTTACAACAAGCAAGGCATCCAGAAATTGGAAGCAGCTTGTTGAAAAACTAAAGACCGGAACTCCTGGGCCTGTCGGAGAGAACGCTGGACAACAGGCGAGCCCTGCCCCCTCCTGCTCACATGCATACACACGCGTACACTTCAGTTTCAGCCACTGTGCCAAACCCGAACTTCTTTTTGTGCCCAGGATCCCTTTTGTCCATCTGGTGAAGCCCACCAAGCCCCTGTCAGAAGAATGTGTTTAAATGAATAAGCCAAAACACAAAGGACTGCAAGTGAAGGCGGTTACACTTAGCGGCCAGCACAGCTTTAACCCCTGGTGGTCACGCAGGTGCTTCTGTGCTAACGCGCGGAGCAGCACGTCTCTCGGCAGGTCTTATGTTGCCTACACTCATAAACAGAAATGCTGAACTTCAGATGAGCACTGTGAGAATAAAAATACATTTTTTCTCCATCCCAGTCCCAGGATTCCCTGTATTCCACCTTAGGTTAGGAACCCTCAGCTGAGACAGCCAATGAACACACACGAGGTGAAGCGCCACATGAGAAAAACCAAAGCGTTGCAGAACGGGCTACCCACCAGCTGCCGAGTGAAGGGGGCTGACAGAGCAGGCACGATTTCTCCAAAAGCCACCGCGGGCTGCCGGCCAGCAAGGGAGCGGCGCACTGCACACGGAACCCAGAGAGGGCAGCCTGCGGGACGGCAGGCACACTCTGCTGCACTTTGAACCTGAGCACGAGGACCCAGCTCAGCACAGGCAAACCACGAGCCTGCGCAAAGTTCCTTCCGGGAGCCCTGGCTTCTTCAAGCACGCTAGAAAAAGGCTGAGCACCGACCCTCAGCTTCCAGGCCCAAATTCTATCTTCATCCTAACATCGCTGCCTTCCTTAAACTTGGGACAGCAAGTTCTACCCAACCTGGATGCTCCTCCTGAACAACCTAAAACAAGTGAATCCAACTCTTCTAAAAAGCCTGGCCAGGGCACACCTACTCCGTAAGAAGCAATCGAAAGCCTGGGTCTCGTCTGCTGTGAAAACACACGATGTGTTCTCCTTTGAATTCTGGTGCCATCACTTCTAGAGCACACACACAAAAACACCAACAAACATCACACTCTTTGGCAGAGGGAGATTACCGGCACATTTTCCACATCTGAATCAACAACAGAACCAGCACAGAACGAGCGCCCTGGACGATGACCTAAGCCAATCACAGCTTCTTGCTGCTGAAGACACAGAGACGAGTAGGAACTAAGACAAAATCACACAGCAACTCCCAAGAGAGCAGGGCTTAAATTCATGCTTTGCTTTGCCCACTACAAAGAACACATTTTCTCTCTCTTTTTCACTCTCTCTCTCTCTCATATCCCGAACCACTTTCCCAACTTTGTCAGCCAAGTTTTAACTTTACAGCAAAAAGACCCAATGGTTACCCAGTCATTATCTCCGGCTTCTATTAACCCCTGTGCACTACGCGAGTGGCTATGTGGCTATGATAACACTAAGTGGTTGGAATCGTGAAATGGTTAAATTCCACTGATGCTCCCAGGGAGTGGTGCCCTGCTGGCATCCTCAGGAAAAGATGCAGAAGCGCTGTGCCCAGATCGCCTGTACCTCCGTCCACTCTGCGGGACTCCCTAGGAGCGCGATGAAATTCGGAACAAAGCCAGAACGGTCACTCATCTGGTTTTTATAAAGGGGCATTTTAGAAGCAAAAGCTTCTCTCAGTATCAAACACTGGGCATTCTTAAGATCAGGAAGGGTATTTTTAATAAAGATTTATTTATTTATGTTAAAGAGTTAGAGGAAGAGAGATCATCCCTCCGCTGGTTCACTCCCCCAGATGGCCACAACAGCCAGGGCTGGGCCGGGCCAATGCCAGGAGCCAGGAGCTTCCTATGGGTCTCCCACGCGGGTGCAGGGGCCCATCACTAGGGCCACCCTCTACTGCTTTCCCAGACCATCAGCAAGGAGCTGGATAGGAAGTGGAGCAGCCGGGACTCAAACAGGCGTCCATATGGGATGCTGGCATCGCAGGAGGCGGCTTCACCTGCTGCACCTCAGTACCAGACCCAGGAAGGATTTTATTAACAAGACAGTCTTCCAGAAATTCTCTCTGCCAGTGTCTGTGTGCTAGGGGATCAGACATACACAGGGAACGTGAGCCAGTATGCAGAGCCAGGGCACCGCCTCAAGTCCTAGGGGTAGGATGTGACTGAGTAAGTCTCTCTCAAGATCTCCCTACTTTGTATTTCACCCGCGCTCTTCTGAAGAGCCAGCCATGTCCTCGCGTGCACTTCCTCGGAGAGGCCTTTCCTGACCTCCAAGCAAAAGCAAGCAAAGACTCATCTCAGACACCCAGCTCGCCTCGCACCACGCGTGAACTTGAGCAACCGCCTTCCTTCTGGAAGCCTCGATGTCTGCGTGCACGCAGTGGCGCGGCGAGCAAGTGTCGCGGTGAATCCCGCACCCCTGGAAGGAGTCCCCTCTCAGGGGACCGCCTTCGGTTTACCTTGTCACTCAACTACTTATTTCCTCGGGTCTGCGCCTGCCAGGGTCCCCACTGCAGCGCGCTGGCTCCTAGTAGGTGCAGGAGTAACTGCTGCGTGTGCGGTGCGTGCCACGGCCGCACCAGGCGCCCCGCCACGCCTCCCGCAGCCGAGGACCCGCGTTCACGCAGCCCACCTCCGGGCAGGCCACCTTTCCTGGCCTCGGAGTTGCCCCGCGTTTCCGGCCTTGAAGACAAAAACCTTCCCGGGCCCGCGCGCGGCTTTTCCGCACCCTCTCGGCGGCGACTTCCTCACAAGGGCACCACGAAATCCAGTCCTGCCCCAAGTCCATCTCCTCCTGGGTCAAGTTCAGAGAGTCAAACAGCACACCCGAAACAGAAGCGCACAACGCGAGGCGGACGCTCTGACCTGTGTCTTTCCAGGGCCATCCAGGGGCAGGTGAGGGAAAGACGCGCGCGCCCACCGCACCGACCACCGCCGCAGACGCCGGAACCAGCTGCGCCGCGTCTAGAAGCTTCTCGGAGAAGCCCCTCCCGTCAAGATGAGTGTTAGGTCGGCACTCACTGGAGGTACTCAGTCACCCGGACGCGTTCTTCAAAGTTTCCTGAGTCTCTCGTGACCCCGGGCTCCCCGGGCGCGCGTGCGGCGCGGACACAGGTTCCCGCCGGCGCAGCCCCCTCAGGAGCCGCGCGTCCCGGGGGACAGCGCCCAGCCGGCGGCGCGGACCCCGAGCCGCCTCGGCGCCCAAGTTTGCGGCGCGCACCCCGCCCCCGGCCCGCTCTCCGCCGAGCCCGCCTCCCCGGGCTTCCCGCGGGGGAAAACAATAGCCGTGTCACCGGCGAACTCGGGGAGTAGCTGCAGGCTCTAATTGCTGCCGCTTCCCAGCGGCAGATAATTACTGCCTTCAAAAATAAAAAAAAAAAAAAAATGTGGTTTTCACCCGCGGGGAGGGAGCCCCCGAGCCTGGGCAGCGAGGCGGGCGCGCTCCCCGCCGCCGGCAGGCATCCGCGAGGCCGAGCCGGAGGTAGGGGGGGGACCCGGGCACCAGCGGGTGCGGGAGCGCCGCGGGGATGCGGTCACTCCCGGCGCAGGGGGCTGCGCAGGGCCGGCGGGCCTGCCCGGGGCACGGACACTTCGCTGTCCCGGCCGCGGCTGCCCGCGGCGGTCACCAGAACAATGCGCACAGCCAGCGTAGCTGCACAGCCCGCTGTCCGCGCGGCCCGAGCCCGCAGCGTGGCGCGCCGAGTCCGGGGAGCGGAGAGACCCAAGGCCCACGGTCCGCAGGGGCCCCCGGAGGGGCCCCCCGGGGAGGGCGGGCGCGGGGGCTGGCTCTCGGCTCCAGAAGACGCTCCCGCGAGGTGTCCGCGTCAGCGGCGCCCGCACCCCGGGCCGGACGCGACGCGCCCGAGAAGTCGGGCCCCTGCCCTCGCCGCGCCGCCGGAGCCCGGGTCCCCGAGTGCCGCGCCCCGCGGGGCCGCTCCAGCCGGCCGCCGCCACTTCCTCCGCGCGCCCGGCGCATCCCGGCGCCCGCCGCAGCGCCCCGCGCGCGCCCGAGAGCGGGCATCCCGAGCTCCCCAACGGTCCCCAGAGAGCGCCCAACCGTCTCGCCGCCCCCCCCCCGCTGCCCTCCACCCCGGCCAGGGTCCCCAGACTCACCCCAGGACCACCAGCTCCCCGTATTTCACCGCCTCCTTATTGGGGGCGCAGGGCTCCTCCGGGCCGGGGGAAAACATGGAGCCCCGCTCGTCCGCCGCCACCGTCTCCTCCGCGATCCCCGCCGAGTCCGCGCCGCCGCTACAATCCCATCCCGAGAAGGGGGTGAGCGCCCCGGGGAAGGGCACCGCGGCCAAGGGGGCGCGGGGCGGCCAGTCCCGCGGCTGCTCCGTCGTGGCTGTGCGGCTGCGCCCCGCCTGGCTCCCCGGAGCTCCGCACGCAGCGGCCGCCCCGAGCCAGACAAGGCAACAAATGGGACCGGGCAGCAGGCGGACCTGCCCGCGCCGCCGCCGCCGCCGCCGCCGCCGCCGCCGCTGCCTCCGCCGCCGAGGCCCCGCGGGAGGGAGCGGGCGGGCGGGGGCGGGGCGGGGGCAGCGAGCGGGGCGGGCGGGGGCAGGTGGGAGCCGCCCCGCCCCCGGCCCGCGGGGCGCCCCCTCCCCGGCGCGTGGGGCCGCCCGCGCCCACTCCCCGCCCCCTCGCCCGGCGGCGGCTGCGGCCCCCGTGTTATGTAAACATAGAGTAAAAGGGAAAGGAAGTTCTTAAAGGAGCAGCTCTGTTTTTGTTTTGTTTTTTTTTTTTTCTTTCTCCCTCGCTCCCTTCCCGAAACTTGGAGCGCGGGGTCGTCAGCCCCGGCGTGAGCTCGGTCGCCGGCAGCCGGGGCCCGGCCCACGTTGGCCCCGGTTCGGCCGGCTGGAAATGGCACAGCTTCCTCTGGGGGGGGTTCGAGCGCGGGCCTGCGCGGGGTCACCGAGCGCCCGCAGCCACACGCACCGGGGTCGTGCGGGGCTCGGCTGAGGCGGATGCGGCCCCCGCGGCTGCTGTCTGCAGAGCGCCGCACACGGCTTAAATAAAAAAAAGTTGTTTTTTGATCCATGCGCTACCCGCCTTGCCCGCGCCTGGCTTTGGCGGATACTCTCCCGAATGGAAAGGTTCCTTTATGACCATGATTTAATCCCTGCGCTGTTTGCTGCCTGCACGTTTTTAAGTAGTTAACTACCGGGGCTTTAAACTATCGGGGACTGCAACAGTGTAGTGCGTGCTGTTTTCCATCATTCGGGATTTTATTATTCCAACATCCACTAAGCGCTCGTGGTAGAAGAACCTCTGCGTATCGTTGCCAGTGTCTGCCTCTCCCGGCTGTTAAACACTGCAGGAGCTGCCGCAGGTATAACCACAAGGTTGGGTCTGACCCTAAGAAATAATAATAAAATAATAATAGCAGTAACCTTCCGTGGGGCTTTTAAGGACTCCGTGTAACACCCACCCACAAGTTAGGACTGTGGTGCCAGCATGCCTCAAGTAATTTTGCTCTGGTTACTAACTAATGTTTTTAATTACAGCGCTAGACACAAATCATTCCAAAAAGCCACGTGGTTGGCAAGTCAAAAATAAATGTGATCAGTTAGCTGATTTCAGCTACTTCTAGAAATCCTATCCTTACCCCGAATGTAGCCCGTGCTCTGTAATTTTATGTGTTGTTGAAGCCTGCCATAGTTTTAACCAACTATCCTGTGCTAAAGGTGCGAATTCTTTGTCCTGGCTGGTGCCGGGTGTGAATGTTTGTGAATTTCTGCTTGATGGATGTGATCTCCATCTACCCCTTGCCGCTGCCCACCCTACAAACGTGTGAGCGCTCAGAATCCTGCTGCAGGCGCTCCCTTCCCGCCGCTGGGGTACCTGGCTCGTCTGCCTGCCTGCCTGCCTGCCTAACTTCTCCAGGCCGCTCTCCAGACTACAGCCCCCCTCTTGTCTCTGGCATGCTGTGCCTTTGTGCATTGCTTTACACAGTGCTGGCTCCATTTCCTGCTCGCTGGGTTCTGCATCTGCTCTTGGGAAGATGGAAACAAATATTTATTGGCCTCCTAGTCAGCTCCAGACGAGTTTTCCATGGGGCATGCCAGTGTGGGAGGGCCCTGGTTTCCAGCTGTTGCCCCCTGCACCTGTGACTTCCAGGGGGGTACCTCTGGTGCTTTGTGGCCTGCCTCTGCATCCCAGTGACTTAAGGAAGTGTGGCTCGCTGTGAGCTTTTGTATCAGTGGGGGCTTTTTCTCCCAGGCAGGTCAGGGGTCACAGGTACTTCAGTTCCCTGAACCACTCTTAGCCCTGAAAGCTTCCCACTGGGAAGGGGTATTCTGTTGATCTGGTTTGATGGACATTGTTTGTCAGTGGCCAGCACCATCTAAAGGGAGCATATGCCATTGTCTGATTTAGGTACTTGGTGCTTTTTTTTTTTAAGTTCCCTGATTTTGCCAAAACTCCCAAAATTTTTTTTATAAAAAAAAAGACATTTATAGCCGGCGCTGTGGCTCAATAGGCTAATCCTCCACCTTGCGGCACCGGCACACCGGGTTCTAGTCCCGGTTGGGGCGCCGGATTCTGTCCCGGTTGCCCCTCTTCCAGGCCAGCTCTCTGCTATGGCCAGGGAGTGCAGTGGAGGATAGCCCAGGTGCTTGGGCCCTGCACCCCATGGGAGACCAGGAAAAAAAGCACCTGGATCCTGGCTCCTGCCATCGGATCAGCGCGGTGCGCCGGCTGCAGCGGCGGCCATTGGAGGGTGATCCAACGGCAAAAGGAAGACCTTTCTCTCTCTGTCTCTCTCTCTCACTGTCCACTCTGCCTGTGCAAAAAAAAAAAAAAAAAAAAAAAAAAAAAAAGACATTTATTTATTTGAAAGGCAGAGTTACAGAGAGGCAGAAAGAGAGAGGTTGGTCCTCCATTTGCTGGCCCGCTCCTCAAATGGCCACAATGGCCAGAGCTGAGCCTATCTGGAGCTAGGACCCTCCTCCTGGTCTCCCACGCAGGTGCGGGGGCCCAAGGACTTGGGCCATCTTCCACTGCTTTCCCAAGCCATAGCAGAGAGCTGGATCAGAAGTGGAGCAGCTGGGACTCGAACCAACACCCATATGGAATGCCAGCATTGCCTGCAGCGGCCCTATCCTCTATGCCACAGCACCGGCCCCAAAACTCCCAATTTTTAACTGTCGGCAATTCATTCAAGCTTTTTGTTTTGTTTGTTTGGTTGTTTTTTCCCTTTAAACACGAACATGGCTCCACCCAAACTGTGTCTGTTTTCTAGATGGCACTCGTGGTCCCCAGACTTCGCTGTCTGGAGTTTAACGGACACACAGGAATAAAGGCAGTGCTCAAAGGGGGGCGAGGGCAGGGCTAGGAGGGTGAGAGTCGGGGTGCAGTGCAGACAATACACCTGAAGTTCCCAGAGGATGAGAGATGTCCCTGCTAGCACCTGTCTCTGCCCACCCCTCATCAGCATTATGGGCTCTCAGCACCCAGCACCCCGGCTGATAGGAGGAATCTGACTGCAGCTGAGTCTGTCCGCTCTTGGTTGTAATTGATTTAGTTAGTAGCTCCAGGCTGGTGGGACAATCTGGCTCTGCCATCTGCCGGCCCCACGGAAGGCCAGGGCGGGTTTGGCCGTCCTGGCGTCCCTCCTGGCCACGGCATTTGTGTCCCCTCCCTGACCCATGCACAGCCTCCCACGGGGAGCTAATGCTATTTCTTGGGCTACCAAAAGGCATATATTTACTTTACAAAGAAATACTACAAGGTTTTTCATTGATTTGTTTCCCTGTTACATTCAGCTCTTTTATGTGAGAATTACAAGACTCAGTGGAAAAGTTTGTTTTTCTTAACCATACATTAAATAAAGTTGGTTCAGTACCTCCCAGTATTTCTGTATGAAGACTCTGCATTTTAGTAACCCGACCTTTTATCTTACACACTTATGTTTACAAAGAATAAAGAGCACTTTGAAAAATATCTATTTGGACAAGCTGATCAGGGCATACTATTTCATGGAAGCTTGGATTACACTTCATTATTTATTTTAAGATTTATTTATTTATTTGAAAGTGAGATTTACAGAGCAAGAGAGAGAGGGAGAGAGTGAGAGAGAATCTTCCATCCGCTGGTTCACTCCCCAAATGGCTGCAGCTACTAGGGCTAGGCTTATCCGAAGCCAGGAGCGAGGAGCTTCTGCCAGGTCTCCCACTTGAGTGCAGGGGCCCAAGCACTTGGGCCATCCTCGCTGCTTTCACAGGCTGTATCCAAAGTGGAGCAGGTGGGCCGGCGCCGCAGCTCACTAGGCTAATCCTCTGCCTGTGGCGCCGGCACACCAGGTTCTAGTCCCAGTCGGGGCGCCGGATTCTGTCCCGGTTGCCCCTCTTCCAGACCAGCTCTATGCTGTGGCCTGGGAGTGCAATGGAGGATGGCCCAAGTGCTTGGGCCCTGCACCCGCATGGGAGAGCAGAAGAAGCACTGGCTCCTGGCTTCAGATCGGCGCAGTGCGCCAGCCATAGTGCCATTTGGGGGGTGAACCAACGGAAGGAAGACCTTTCTCTCTTTGCCTCTCTCTCTCACACTAACTCTGCCTGTCAAAAAAAAAAAAAAAAAAAAAGTGGAGCAGGTGGGTCTTGAACTTGCACCCATATGAGATGTTAGGGTGGCAGGGGGCAGTTTTACCTGCTGTATCACAACGTAGGCCCTACATTTTATTTTTAAACTATATGTTTTTGTTTGTTTTGTGATTGAGAGAGTATTTTGTCAAAAGTTTGGAAAACATGAACGGAAGTACTCTTTAAAAATCTTGTTTAAATCACCCATAATCTTCTTATCCAGAAAAAATCTTGTTTATCATTTTTGTGTATTTCTTTCATCTTTTTATTTTTAATTTTCAACGTGGTGGTGATAATATGGTTTATAATCACCCTTTATAATGCTTCTTATCCTGCTTTTTTCAGTCAATATTATTTTAAGAGCAGTTTTCTTGTCACTAAAACTTCATGAACATTTTTGTTATTTCATCCACATATATTAGCCATTCTCTCATATGGAAAATTCCTAACTTTTGCTCTTATAAACATATTTTCATTTGTTACTATTCCAGGAAAATAGAATTCTATGAGCAAAATTATCACATCAAAAGATAAAAACATTTGTAAGCTCCTTTGGTGTGTATTTCCAAAGTGTGGTGCCTGCCAATTCACACTGCCAGTTCACACACTGCGAGTCCTGGTAACTGGGAGTGGGCCTCAGGGATCGCTCACCAGCGCCTTTAAATCCTTTCTAATTTGGCAGGTGGTGATTTTGCGTCTGCATCTCCGTGGCTGTCACCGTGCCTGTGTTTGCCTTTCCTTGCGGTAAAGCGGAGAGCGTGAGATGTGCCCTGCTGGCCGCTCTGCAAGTGTGCAGCGCAGGGCTGGGGATTCTGCAGCTCTCTGGGACTTCCCTCCTGCATGAATGCATCTTCACACCCGATGAACAGCAGCTCCCCGCTGCCCCCCCCCCCCAGCCCCTGGCAAACGCCCTTCGTCTTTCTGCTTTCATGAATTTGATTATTTAG